GTCTGGCGGCCCTTAAGCAACCGATTTCGGCTGCCAGACCGACTGATCCTTAATCAGGAAGGTTTTCCGCGTTAAATGAGCCCAATATCAAATGTATATGTTTCCGGTTGAAATTTGAGCACTTTTTTTCCAACTTTGAACCGGTCTGGCGGCCCTTAAGCAACCGATTTCGGCTGCCAGACCGACTGATCCTTAATCAGGAAGGTTTTCCGCGTTAAATGAGCCCAATTTCAAGTGTATATGATTCCGGTCAAAATCCGAGCAATTTTTGGGCTTTTTAGGGGCCTAAAACTTTCTTAATGCAACCGGTTTGACCTGCCAGACCGCCCATTTCTTTTTACACACCAAAATCCGCTTCGAATGAGGTGGGTGGCAAATTTATATTATTCCGGTTGAACGAATCGTCATGAGCTCTCGGTCTACTATCCCCTTCAAAATACTCGCCAGCTTTGTCGATGCATTTTTGCCACCGTTTCTTCAATTGGAAGAAACACTGTTGGAAATGCTCAGATTTGAATGATCGCAATTCTTTCAAGGTGTTCTCTTGAATTTCTGGAATGGTTTGAAAACGTCGACCTTTCAAGGTAGATTTAAGTCGTGGAAATAAGAAAAAATCACACGGAGGTTTCTGCATCACGATAATGCACCTGCCCATGCATCCCTCCAAATTCGCGAATTTTGTGCAAAGAATGCCATGAGTGTCCTCCCTCATCCCCCATATTGACCTGACTTGGCTCCGTGTGATTTTCTCTTATTTCCACGACTTAAATCTACCTTGAAAAGTTGACGTTTTCAAATCATTCCGGAAATTCAAGAGAACACCTTGAAGGAATTGCGATCATTCAAACCTGAGGATTTCCAACAGTGTCTCTTCTAATTGAAGAAACGGTGGCAAAAATGCATCGACAAAGCTGGCGAGTATTTTGAAGGGGATAGGTGATTACTTGGTAAGCTGCTTAAAATGTTAATTTCCTTATTTTTAAGCATTTGAATAAGAGAGCAAAGAAGTTTTTCACTTAGAACCTGGGTTTTTTGTAAGTTGTATCCAAATTTTTCTTGAAATAAAGACAAAAATCGCAACCCGAGTTTGACTTTCCTTTATTCCAAAGCGTGTAATTTCCTTACCAAGACGAATTTTTGCATTCTGTAAAAACAAGCATCTCCAGTAGCTTATCAGCTTTCAAACAAGCCCAAGAAAACTTCATCACGACGCTCGGTTCGCCTTCTATGACAAAAGTCAGGTTTCTTTTGGGACAGCCCCCGTATTGTAATTTTATATCTTAGGGTTTCAAAACGCATGACTTGTAATTTTTCCCAAATACAAGCTCTTTTATCCAATGCAATATTTGAATAATTCTCGCATTATCATGTTCTGTTTTTATGAGACTGTTGCTCCTTGGGCACCCAATTTGAAAGCCCTGGGTGAGCCAATTGATGAGGCAAGCTTGTTGAGATTTTTTCACAAAATCAAAAAATCTGAGAAAAAAAACAAAGTCATGTATTTCTTCTTTTTAATATTTTTTTTTCTTTTCAAAAGCAACTAACCTCTCCCCTCACCAAAATTCTGAGGTGCATCAGGATATGCTGATAATTTAATGATGCGTCAAATGCTATGAAGTTTTAATTGTACTAGCCACGTTAAAAATTGCCACTATACTATAGTGTCAGTGCAACATTGACCTATGCTGCGAGATCCTATTGCAAAGGAGGGTGCGGATTGAGAGGCCTCCTTTCTCTACAGCATATTCCGTGCTCGATCTCAGTCGAACTTTCGAAATGCAGTCTGCTTCATAAGGATGAAAAAGTCTCCAAAACATGACAAAACCATCGGTTTGATGCAACTCGCGAAAGCCAGTTTCCCTGTCCGAGTTCGGTCGACTTTTCGGCCCAATTTTCGCATCTCCGGGAGGTACATTTTGAGCTACATCTCAGTCGACCTTTCAAGAAGCCGCCAGAGTTATTTGCATGAAAATCTCTCCTGAACATGGTATAGGCATCGCTTTGATGCAACTTGCGAATGCCAGCTTCGCTGCCCGAGATCGGTCGCGCACTTTTCGCACCCTAAAGTTTACAACCTAAATACTGTGAATTTCTTATGGTAAAGTTCCTTTTCGATCGGATTAACCTCCACTTCAAACCCATTTGTAAACGGATTTTTGGAGGAAAATAAAACACAAAAGTACACACTCGTGTCCGAAAAATTGCCCTGATCACGAATAATGTAACAATAATATTTGGAAAATTTGAAATTCAATTTTTGATTTTTGTCCTTGGGATTCCGCACTGTGCACCTGCCGACCTCGCTCTTCGAGACTAAGCTTGAGTCTGAGTCTCCACAGACTCAACTGGAGAGATCGTTAAAACCCCTGGTGCCGAGTATTCGGGGGCCCCTTCCCCCTGGCTGGCTGTGAAGGTTTGCTTCAGCAAGCCCAGAATACCTAGCCTTACTCAGTATAAATATGTTTTCCAATTGGATAAGCACAAAAGTATTATTGTTTTAATGTTGAAAAATTGCATCATTGTTCGTAAAATACAATTAATACCCATTGGGTTTGATGTACCTCTTTTGATGCGATTATTTTTGTTTTTGTCTTTATTAGGTCCTTTGAAAGAGGCTCCTAACTTAATCTGCACTCCTCATGCAGCATACTATTCAGAGGCATCTTGCACAGAATTGAGAGAAATGGCAGCCAGTGAGATTCGCCGAGCAATTGTTGGCCGCATTCCTGATTGTTTGCGCAATTGTGTGAATAAAGAGTATTTTCCAGCTGGGACGGTCTCTGCGTATCCAGGACCAGGTCCAACCTCAGCAGCAGCTACTGCTGATGGAATGAATGGAGGGTAAGTTTTAATATGTGCATTCAATTTAATGTCCAATTTTTTAGTTTGCACAATGTGCAAGGGGGGGGGGGGGATTTCACCTTTGTCCAGTGACAAAAATTCAAACTTTTTTTTAGAGTGAAGTCGTAATACAGGGTGTTTGAAAAGTCCTCTTTTTCCCTCCCCCCTTCGCTGACTTTTTACCGAATTGAGGTAGAAATTTGAAACTTGGAGGACGTTGCTAGGTCAAAGGGAGCCACTTTTTGAACCACCTAAAATTTTCAGGGTCCCCCTGGGGGGGGGNGGGGGGGGGGAGATCCAGGGTTGCCACGGTCAGGGAATTCAGCGAAAACCTGGAAAAGTCAGGGAAAAAAAGTGCTCTGGAAAACCTGGAAAAGTCAGGGAAAAAAAGTGCTCTGGAAAACCTGGAAAAGTCATTGAATTTGACCAAAAACAGCTAAAAGTCCGACAATTTTCACAAGTTGCTTAAAATCTTTCCTTTTTCGGTTTTGAACGCAATATAAATTGCGATGAAGTGGCATATCTCGCGATGCATTCAAGAGTTAAATTATGCAGCCGTATTTGGTCGCCAACGCAACAAGCAACGCAAATTGGAATGCCCAGTTTTTCTGTGTATTTTCAGAGGCATAGGAAGAAAAAGAAATGAAAATAGTATCATCTGCCCCCCCCCCCCCCAGAAATTCTGGATGGTGCAAAAACACCTTCTTCTACGGTAAGTTTCTGTCGCCGTGGCCCATGAGACGATGCCTTTAAACAGAATAACCTGTTGAATGCAACAATTTCAAAGTATTTTCACCCTAAATTGCATTAAACTGGGTGATTTTCAGGCAGAAATCGAAGGAAGATTAGCGCCACAAGTGCCTCGAGATGCGCTCAAATAGAGTTAAAATTTCAAAAGTTTTCCGGGGGAGGCCCCCCGGACCCCCCACTGACCTGGGGGGTATTCCAGACCCCTCGGTGGTGGGGAGCCAGGCCCCCCCCCAGCAAAATGACCTAGCTACGCCTATGTGTATTTTCGAAATTTCAACTATAACTGATGGGTAACCACTAACGGTTTAATTTTCTTCTTTAAAGTAATCCGAGTGTCTAGGATTATTGCAAACGCAAAGCATCAGGGTTCTTGAAATAATAAACTGTTAGAAGCTCACTTTATAAATAGGCATTTGCAAAATCCTGAGAAGGGAGAGATAAATAAAGAAACGAACACCAGGGAAGACTCTTTTTTTAGAATGTTTCTTCAAAAGAACAATCGTTCAAAAGTTTTCATTTCCAAAACAATTATTGGGTTGCTCAAGAAAGTCAAAAGCATCAAAATTTAAAGAAAAAGTTAACACCCCTTTTTTATTAGCAAATGTTCTACAATTAACTTCTGACTCCTTAGCTTAAGCGTGTTTCAAATGAGACGCTATATTAGTGCGATGGTAGCTAGCAAGGTGTAAATTTGGCTGTGCGATCATGGCGCGCGTTCTCAAAGGTCAGGGAATATCTCCATTTTTCGTCGGGGAAAACCTGGAAAAGTCAGGGAAAATCATTTCCAAATTTTTGTGGCAACCCTGGAGATCCCATCTTTTTATTTATAAATGGGAAGACCTCTCTTGTGATACCTCGTTCAAAAGAGCACAAATAAAGAAAAGTTTCAGCGCAAATCTGAAGTCAATATCTCAAACCATTTCAAAATATCCGTTAAAGTTCAAGATGACTGATAATTGACATTGGTTGTTCATCAATGGATTTGTGCAAAATTTGGCATCCAGTGGTATTGCGACACTAGAAAAATGAATTTGAGGTTAGATATTCAAAAAATACGAAATTTTCCAAATGGTGGCCGGTTACAGTTAAACATGGCCGGAAATTGGCATCTCGGTTATTTCCCCATGGATGTACTAGAAACTTGGAATGTAGGGGTATGTTTGCATGAAATTAACGAAAAGCGACCCTACAAGCGACTGTTTTTTGGCACAATTTGGGACTGCAGGAATTTTTCTGTAATCAGGCCCTAACAATACATTATAAATCCCTAAAACTCTGGTAAAATTTTTAGCTTGAGTATATGAACGGTTTTTGAGTAATAAGGGGGAAAATTTGTCAACTCGCCATCATTCTTGACAGCATTTTAACAGCCAAAAGGCGGGAAAAACGGACGAAAAAGTTACAATTTTGATCGGTTTTGGCAGTAATTGTTCTTTTTGGGCTCCCGTGCACACTGCTCATGATTGTGTTCGGTTTCAACAATTTCGGCGGTACAGTAGTCCATTCAAAGGTCATTCAATTTTCCCGCGAAATAAGCCAATTTCCCCTAGATTTGCCTCCACATATCTCAGCAAGGTCCAAATCAGTTCAACATTACGTTGGCGTGTCCCCAAATTTTGGGAAAAGTTCAAGGAAACGAAATTTAAACGGTCATATTTAATCACCTTAAATTTCGTTTTTTTTTTTAACTTTTCCCGAAATTTGGGGACTTGCCAACGTAGTGTTGAACTGATTTTGACCTTACTGAGATAATCTGGAGGCAAATCTAGGGGAAATTGGCTCATTTCGCGGGAAAATTGAATGACCTCTGAATTGACGTATGTGAGGGTCTGAACCCCCCCCCCCCCCCCCNCCCCCCCCCCCTCTAAAATTAGGTGGAAGTGATTTCTGCAATTTTTTCGTTACGATAGTTTGAACGGGAGTTATGATTTTTTGAAAATAGGATTAAAAATTTGACCTTTAATATATCATAACTCTGTCACAAATTAAGATACCGGTCTGTAGTTTGCGCCAAAATTCTTAGTTTTTTATGCTCTTTCGAATGAGGTATCATAAGATAGGGGTTGCCATTTGAAAAAAAAGTTGGGGGCCCCTCCACCCCCCCCCCTGAGGGCGACCAAAATTTTGACCCCTCCCCCCTAAAAGATGGTCCCCTTTGAGATATGAACATTCCCAAAGTTTCATTTTTCTATCTCGAACCGTTCAAAAGTTAGAGGAGGGGGGGCTGGACTTTTGGAACACCCTGTATGAATGAAATAATGCTACAAAATCTAATCAATAACAAAGTTCTGTGAACAATATGGTCTGACATACAACAATAATTCAAACAAACTACGTACAAGGATTTCCTCAGGATCTGAACTCTGCAGGAGACCAACAGGTTTTCATCATTTTCAAAAAGTTTGACTGAGGATTTTAAGTATTCTTAAACTCCCTCATTCTGGATCACTGCGCGGTGAAAATTTGTTAAGCTGAACATAATTTTATGCATTCAGGATCATTAAGAACATACTTAGCCATGAACTCTGCAGGAGACCAATTTTTTATCCTTTTATGAGGAGATCCTTTTTTAAAAAGTTTGACAAAGAATGTTATTTTATTTTCTTTATTTACAACAGGCGAACCTAATTACCAAAAGCACAACAATTCAAAGGTAGTGAGAAGACGGTAAGATGAAGACCAGTAGAATGAAAACGACAGTAATAAAAGAGAATAACAAAGCAAACAAGATGACAGAAAGTAGTTGAAATTGGTTGAACACAAATGAAGCGTCCTTGGCCTGGCTCTTGAAAAAAGAAATTGGGACATCAAACAGATCATATGAATCATTGCAGCAATTACCCAGGTCCCTCAACGTAACTGTAGGTTAGAGGTTACGGCAGTTGCTATGATCATGAAAAATGCTGAAGAGTGCCCCACCCCTTCTTAGGACCCGACCAGGAACGTGAAGATGAATCAACTTAACTAATTAAGAGCAATCAATAAAATTATTGAACAATTTGAAAAGAAACATGAAGAATTCTCGGCTCTCGAATTAAGGTTACTAATATGCAAAACATTACTGATGTCACCATAATCATGGTCTAGGTGAGAAAGAGCAAGGTCAGTTCTCCATGAGGCCATTCTGAGAAAAAGATGTTGAACACCCTTGAGCTTATTTGACAGGACTTGAACAGATGGGGACCATATTTGGGATGCATATGCTACGGGTAATCTAGTCAAACGGGGTAATGTCGACATTACCCGGGTAATGGCGGCAATAATTGACATTACCCAGGCCGTTTTGGTTAGGTTAGGTTAGGTTAGGTCCAGCCGGTCCCGTCTGCGGCCCTCCCTGACGACTGAGGGGTGGGATGCCAGGTATTATAACCTAACCTAACCTAACCAAAACTGCTTGGGTAATGTCAATTATTGCCGACATTACCCGGGTAATGTCGACATTACCCGGTTTGACTAGATTACTCATAACACATACATTAGGATGGGTTTAACAAGTGCGGCATATGAAGATACAAAAGTCCAAACACTACAGAAGCGCATGGATCTCCTGCGAATGAAGTAGAGCTTTCTTTATGCTCTCGAGACAACAGAATCTATATGCTGGGCTAAAGTCAACTTAGAACAAAGAAATACACCTAAGTCCTTAATAGATGAGCATTGATGTATGGAGGTGTCATTTACTCTGTGGTCAAATAAAGGGGCGTCCAATTTGGAGAAAATAACACAGAGCTCTATGCAAAAACGGCTTTTTTCGCCCCCCTCTGGAATTTCTTCAGACTTTGTCCATTGATTACTCATACTTGAGCACTTCTTCTCCCAAAGAACCCCGACCCTTCCTTATGGGAAATCTCCCCCAGTCAAACGCGATGCCGCTTGGATATGTTGCTCAGCTCGTCATTCTGATCAAAAGCTCTATGGGGCCCAAAGAGATCCCATGTGCGGTTTTCGAGATATTCGCCGTTTTATGTGCGTAAACGGAGGTTTCGCGCGCTCCCGCCGGAAGCCATACCATTGTGCGGCGCGGCTCGTGCCCTTCCCTCACAACCACTCTCCGCTGCCCCGCCGCCCATACCTTGGCTCCTCTATCACTCCAACTCCGACGCTCACGAGGCTGCGCCCATTATTACCGGACCGCGCCCGCACGCCGTCTTCTTACGCGGCCTCTCCTTCGGCCATGTCGCCTCTTTTTCTCATCGATCCTTTCTCTAAGTCTTCAAAAACGATTAAGAAGTCCATTTTTACTAAACATG